TAATGCTTAGAGAATGCCAAATGTAGTTGTTACGACAATTGCCGGTGCACATTATAAAGAAGAAGAATGCCTTAATATAGGTTTAATACACATACGTGAATTTGAACAGAATTTTCTTAATATTCGTGCAAATGATAACACAGTGCTTTGCCAAAAATGTGAGCAATTAACTGCATATTTAAATAACGTAAATAGTAAGTTAGGAAATTATAATAATAATATATTATTTACGTTATATGATGCAGAAATAAATAAACTACTTAATATTTGTACTGGGACCAAATGCTCTAGCAAAATTTTACAAGATACTTCAAAAATTTCTCAATATTTATCACAAGAAGAACAAGGAAATGAAAGAGGTCAATATGAATTAAGTGAAAAAGAAGGGAGTCAACAAAGAGGACATTCGCAACCTGATGTAAAAGTTCTTGATATATCTTCTCAAACTCAAGATGTAGCATCAAGATCTGTGAGTATACATCAGTTTAGTGCACATGTATCAGAAATCCCTGCGTCACAAGTATCGTCTCCCACAGCTCTCCTAGAAAATGCAGAAGTAGAAGACAGTGAATCTTTTTCTCCTTTACAGTCAAAACGTACTGAAGAACTTAGTCCAAATCATAAAGCTCAAGAAACTTTACCAGATACAACTCTTCTTCCAACAAATTCACCTGATACTCATTCTGTTAGTTTGGACAATGATGGAATCCTGGGTAATATTAGTCATGTTCTTGTTACAGGAGTCTCTAATTTTGTAGACTCTTTTTACGAAACACTTTTTTCAGGGGTATTTGCCCATTCACAGAAAGTGCAAAATAAATGTGGTCATAAAAGTTCTAATAAAATTGAATCAGATATGTCAGTTACTACTAATACACATTTAACTCAATTGCTCAGTGATTGTGAACGTGTTAATGACACAACTTCTTGCTATGAAAAAACTTGTGGTGTTCATGATATCAACTCATCTTCTAGAGATGTAGCACCATCGGGGAAAAATGCTGACCAATTAGCTATTCATAGTGAATCATCTCATAGCACACCTAATGAAGGGGTTACAGAAGAACAAGTAACTTCTCTTAATTCTCATGTGACTTCTAATATACCTAATATGCCACCCCAGGCAACAGCAGATTCATCTTGTATTGATGAGTCTTTTGACAATAATGGAGAAGAAAGTGAAGATGAATTACGTGTAACTACAGGTACAGATGGTGTGGGTAGCACAGGGAATGGTTTTGTGCTAGATGGGTCTTATGGCGATTTTCAAAGAATACCATATATATTATATATTGTAATAATTTTGGTA